AACTTAATTTGTTTAATGTTTTTAATTTGATGTGATTAAATTCCTTTGTTGTCCCGCACATTATTTATTAGAACCATATATGAAATTAGTACTTCTTGTTTAATTCAAATCTAGAACATGAAAAATCATTTTGATTGTTTACAATAACAAGTGATTTTGGGATAATGAGTATGATAGTGAAAAAGAAATTGATGAGGAGAACTAGGAATTAACTGAATTGGAGAAGCTAGCTGAAACCCAAGAGAGGAGTGAACCAAAACATATAAATTGAGTGTCAACACTTTATGAGGATAACTGATATTGATTGATTCTTTGATGTGATTGCATGTTAGCGATACTTGAAAATGATAAAGGAAATTCTTGTGTAGTGAAAGTAGATATAACCTAGAGTCAAATAGTCAACCCTACGTTAATTATAGGAAATCCATTTGAACCCCATTTGACAAAAAACAAGATTGTTTCTTGAAACAGAATCCCTGAGCCTAAACAATGTTTATCCACCTTCCTATATTTGAGAAATGAAATGATTATGAATGTTATTGTTTCTCCTACGGGTATTGTTATTAAAAACAGATAGAGAGAGAGAGAGAGAGAGAGAGAAGGTTGAGTAGATTAAAAGGGAAAAGAAAAGCATAAATATTGTGGCTAAGCCAAAATGATAAATGCAAAGCATGAGGAATGGAAAAGGAAATTCAAAGTGGTGTAAATGATAACTAATGAGATTGTTAACTCACTATCATTATGTTAGAGCAAAAGTATGAAGTTTGAAACCTGACTTGAGGAAATGATAAACAAGAATCATTCATATAATTTCAATTTCTCAAATACTTTTGTATATCCTAAAAAAAACCAATGAATTCCTTCTTAGCCCAACCCCATTACAAGCCTCAAAAGACCTTTTGATTTAAGTCTTGCTTAACAAATGCTGATTGCTTGAAAATGAATATCAATATTGGAATATCTAAATGAAGTGATTGAATGAGATAAACACTTACCCGTGAGAGTAAGAGATGATTATATATCACTCTATTTGAGAGATCATGCTTCTTTGAGGATAGTTGATGATTAATTATCCTTTGTTAGTTTCTGCAACTTTAATGTTTATGTATTCTATTTTTATTTGGAGTTGTGAGCATCACATCTGGAAGAAAATTTATTTTTATGTTATGGTTCTGGAAGATAAAGTGATAATAGGTGATGATTTTGTTTTGGAAAAAGTACTTTGCTTAGGGACAAGCAAGATTCTAGGCTGGGGGGAGTTGTTAAGTGGCAAAAGTTGATGGAATTATGCTTTGAATTGTTATTTAACCACTTAAATTATGTTTATTCTAATATATTTTTCTCCCAATGTAGGATGAATTTACATAGTACTTGGGTACAAGAGTAAGGATCATAATTTTCAAGTTAATTGAAGAAAAATTGGAAAAAAAGGGAAGAATATTTTCAGCCTAAGATTCGCTCGAACGAGGTAGACGCTTGCTTGAGTGAAAATACGTTAAACCTCTCTGAAAGTCAGTCGCTCAAGCGAGCAAATTCTCGCTTGAGCGAAAGTATCTGCTTGAGCGAATGCCATGAAAGTTTTCTATAAATAGATCAGATGTGTTTTGAGAAGGGGAGTTTTTGAGGGTTTTGAGAAGAAAGACATGCAACTGATCGAGTTTTCTTCCAATCTTCAATTCATCTTCAATTCTTATTCATTTGTATCATTGTAATGACCATCATGAGTGGCTAACTTCATTATCTTATGATTGGGTGCACTTCCTTTGAACTCTTTTATATCTTGGTGATGTTTTGAGATATTAATCTATGTTCTTTCTCTTGATATTCTTCTCCTTTGTGTTCTTTAATGTTTATATTTGATGTTTGGGATGTATTGGAAAATATATCTTGAAACCTTAGATCAGGTTAAGAATATTTGCTACGTTAATTGCTAGGAATGGTAATGGATGTATCAATTGCTTAACACCCTAAACCTAATGTTGGGAAATCTATTAAATGTATCATGAATCGACATTTATTAGGTTTTCTTATGAATTTCATGTGTAAGGAATCAACGTGAATGATTTAAGCAGGTGGCATCAACATTGATAGGTTAATTGATGTTCTTAATTTGACCTAGCCATTATACAAAAGAGGGAAAATGAATGAAACCAAACATAAGTTCTTTAATTTGTTCTTTTCTAAAAGCATTTTACAGTTATTTGCCATTTATTTTCAACCTAAATATTTATGAAAAACCAGTTTTGTTTTAATCCACTTAGTAAGCTTATGATTTTGAGTTTCTGGTGAAACCGTTCCTCGAGGGATCGACTTATATTTAATCAAAATACTATACTGCGATTGATAATATTGGTGCACTTGCCAATTATTCAACAATTCACTCTTTCTCCCTCCATGTCTTCTATTATTGGGTCTGGAAAGTTGAGTGTGGGAGAAGAGTTTACTGATTCTCCTGTTTTTGCTCTTGAATTTCCCTTCTTCTTCTACCACGATTCCTTCGAGCAGCTTTTTCAATCTCAGGATCAAATTTCAACTGATCTATAGATACATGTCCTCTTAAAAGCATAAATCAAAGAACAACTCAGGCAAGAATTAGCACAGGACAAAAAAAAAACAAATAACAAGTTAGACAAAGAATTTCCAAAGAACGTCGCTCCCCAGCAATAGCGCCAGAATTACTTGTTGAATAATTGACAAGCATACCAATATTATCAATTGCAGTATAGTATTTCGATTAAATAAAAGTCGATCCCATGAGGAACGATTTCACTGGAAATTCCAAATTATAAGCTTACTAAGTGGATTAACATAAAACTGGTTTTTCATAAAGATTTAGGTTGAAAATAAATGGAAAAGAACTGTAAAATGTTTTTAGAAAAGATCAAATAAAAGAACTTAGGATTGATTTAATTCCTTTTCCCTCTTTTGTATAATGGCTAGGTCAAATTAAGAACATCAATTAACCTATCAATGTTTATGTCACCTACTTAAATTATTCACATTGATTCTTCACACATGAAATTCATAATAAAACCTAATAAACATCGATTCCTCATACATTTAATAGATTTCCCAACATTAGGTTTAGGATGTTAAGCAATTGATACATGCATTACCATTCCTAGCAATTAACGTAGTAAATATTCTTAAACCTGATCTAGGGTTTCAAGATGTATTTTTCAATACATCTCAAACATCAAAGATAAACATTAAAGAGCACAGAGAATAAGAATATCAACATCAAGAACATAGATTAATATCTCAAAATATCACCAAGATATAAAAGAGTTCAAAGGAAGTGCACCTAATCCTAAGAGAATCAAGTTAGCCACTCATGATGGCCATTATAATGATCCAATGAAGAAAAATTCAAGAAAAATTGAAGATTGGAGGAAAACTAGAGTAGATGTCGTCTCTCTTCTCAAAATCTTGAACTCTCTCCCTCAGAACACATCTTATCTTTTTATATAAAAATTTCGCGTCATTCTCTCAAGCGGATACTTTCGCTCAAGCGAATACTCATGATTTTTCACTACTACAAAATATACTTTCTACGTCGTCATTTAACGTCGGTTATAGCTGAGACGATGTAGAAAGTACTTTCCACGTCGGTTCCCAGATGAATCGACGTTGAAAGTTGAATATTAAACACATTCTACGTCGGTTCTTAGTCAACCGAGCGTAGAAAGTACTTTCTACGTCGGTTCCCATATAAGCCGAGCGTTGAAAGTCTTTTTTTTTTTACTTATTGACACTTTCCACGTCGGTTCCCATATGAACCGAGCGTGAAAAGTCTTTTTTTATTTTTTTCACCCAAAAACTCACTTAAATTTGAAAATTGTCATTGGTAGGATTCGAACCCGAGTACTTTAGAATTGGAGGCTGATACTCCAACCACTAAGCTACTAGAATTTTCCGATAATAACTTACAAATAAATTATATTTATATACAAATAAATATATATCCATGTAAATATATATTTATTTGTATATATTTTCTGGAAAGTATTTTTATTTTTATTTTCGACTAAAAATTTTCTTAAGTTAATGAATTGTCACTGGTAGCATTAGAACCCGAGTATTTTAGGGTTGAAAGTTAATATCCCAACCACTAAACTACTATAATTTTTTGATAAATAACTTACAAATAAATTATATTGGTATTTTTTGATCGAGGGTGAAAGTGTGATTGACTCTTGCTTGAGTGAAAATATGTTAAAGCTCACGAAAATTCACTTACTCAACTCTCGCTTGAGCGAAAATTGGTATTTTTCGCTTGAGAGCAAATAACGTGTTTCCCAAATTTATTTTATATCATTATATGAATAAAATTATAAAGATTATATTCTGCCATTAAATTAAAAATTCATATAAAGATACCTGCTCATAAATTTAGCATCAAATTTTGAAAACCCACTCGACACACACTTTCATTTTCGAGTGTGCCCTCACATCCAACATATAAATATATAACTATATAAATATATCAAAAAATATAAATATATTTGTATTTATATATTTATATATTTACACGAGATATATATTTATTTGTATATAAATATAATTTATTTGTAAGTTATTATCGAGAAAATTCTAGTAGTTTAGTGGTTGGAGTATCGACCTCCAACTCTAAAATCTTGGGTTCGAATCCTATCAATGACAATTCTCTTAAAAAATTAATAAACTTCTAAAAAATATAATATAAAGAGATGGAGGACTTAATAAAAATATAATATAAAGAGAGGGAGACTTCTAGATAAATAAAAGGGGGTAAAGGGGTTGTAAATAAATAAAAATTATTAATTTAAAAAATCATACTTTCAACGTCGGTTACGTTGTATCAGGCGACGTTGAATCTTTTGATCCCAAACATCAAAATATAGATCACTAGCATCCGGCTCTTCCTAACGATCACGAAAGACAGAACCCCGATCACCACTAGCACTAGGATCCCTACTTTCTTTCTTTCTTTCTTTCTTTCTTTAAGTAAATTCTGGATCTTACTCCCGATAACGAAGATCAGAATCTCTATTACGAGCATCCGTAACTGCATAGCATCAGAATCTCACTATCGATCGATCTGTAGTTGGCCAGCAGCATAGGCTAGGCACCATAGAACATGCCACAGTGCATGCCATAGCGATGATGACCACCATAGTAGTTGATAGGCATATTAGTGTTAGCCACCTTTTTCCAAATAATTTCCAAGTCTTCCTACTCGTTGACCAATTCCTGTTGCTTCAGCTCCCGTTCCTTCCCGAGCATCTACACCCGCTCTGGTTCTTCCTGTTGTTTGCTTCCTGCTTGTATCATTCAACCTGTGTAAACCACTGTTTAAAGTAAAGAAAGTAAAGAAAGGGGTACCACTTTCATAAGCCACTGTCAACCACTGTAATAAGAGCTAAAGGACTATGAACCTTAAGCACGAACAAGGGAACAATGGATCGAGTAAATAGGAATCGGGGAGGAATCGAACCTCCCGGCCGGCTAGCCCGCGTTCCAACCGATCCGCCTCCATCCTCCACTCCGTCCTTCGTTCTCCCTTATAATCAATAGGAATACATTATGTCTTTTCACCGCTCCGTGGGTAGTCCTACGCATAGTCCAGTAGAAGTGATTAAGGGTCTGCCCAGTTAGAGTTTTGTTATTTCATCCACTATTATTCTATTCTATTAGCCAAAAGGAACTATTTTGATCTTCCAGTTCCCGGGTGGCCCACTTTCTTACTTGTCGCAACCGTCTCTCAATTGCTAAATCATCAAGGAAGTTCTCAAGGATTAGAGCGATGTCTTTTTCTTTTTTTTTTTTTTATTTTATTTTAAAGGCGGTCCTTTTCTTTCCCCCGACCGATGACTCGCTTGTTCAGTACTGCTAACTCTTTCTTTTTTGTTTGAGGATGCCGTCCCCTCGGGACTACCAGTAGTTTCGGTTGTTGAATCTCGTGCAAGTTAGGTTGTGCATGTATTGGTTGCAAGCGGAACGTAGGCGCTTTAGGTAGGTGTGTGTTGACCATGCACTCTTGCGTCATGTAATGTCGTATAATAGAGGTGGTGTGGTGATTGACCTCAATGCTAATGGTTATCCCCAAGGTTCAACGAATGAATGAAGCTATGATTGTACCCGGATAGAAATGACGGTCTTCCTCTTATGTCTCCAAGCCGGCCATAATAGAATATAATAGATAGGCAAAGCAGCCAATAGCAGTCTGTTTTAGCCTATCGATAGATAGTAGGTTGCTTCCAAGCTCAAACCATTTGAAACTGAATTGCTACTGTATTCTTGTTATTGATAGAGTGGTTTTCTCCGCCCCTGTAAAAAAAATGAGAGGGAGAGAACTTGAAGAGAGAAGGAAAAAGAGCAAAGGATTTACAAGTATAATGGGAGAGGAATGGCTGACACATTGACTTTAATCTTTCTATTTAGCCCGGTTCTTATATAAATATAAATAAGGTTCCTAACCAGACCCCGTGTACGGATAGAGAAGGAAAGTCTATTTTTCCAAGAGTCTAGCTAACTCTAACCCGGGATCAATCGTGAAGAGGTTTTTCTTTCTTCTTATCTTATCTTAAGTAGAAGATTCGGATAGTGATAAGTACCCCTCTCGCCACTATTTCGATATAGATCCAATTTAATGGAAGGAAAGGCACGAAACATCTTAACTTGCTTGTAGGCAAGAATAAAGAGCTGGTGGAAGGTGCAGATGAAGAAGCTGCTAGTCTTTTTAACCACAAACGCTCTTGAGTCAATATCAGATGTGGTCCTATCAGCTCAACCAGTTGCCGGTCTTGTTTGCGTAGTAAATGGTTTTGGCGGAAGAAGGTCTTTGAGAAGGAGCTACATGTGTTCTTGTTCGAGAATCCGCATCCCGTCGAATCTGGTAATAAACGTATGCTTAGTAGGGAGGGGCTCGCCCAGATGCTTTGCGAGACCGAAAGCTTCATTTTGTGTTCGGTTGCGTTATCTACCGCAAAGAGGGTTTCTATTAGAATAGTGTTAGTTCGCTATTACTGTCGGTCAGGCCGACGATAATTCTATTCTGATATTGCTATGTGCGCCACTAGAGCTTTGATCATATGCTTTGAGCCGAGTCGATGAGTTTGAATATTCATTCGTGTACGTATGCCATGTAGATTGAAAAGAGAGAAGCCCTCACTGACGGAGTATAAATAGCACACCAGATGGATCATTCAATAGAAAGCCGAAGCCGAAGAATTAACACCTCCAAAGGGCTGGGTGAGAGAAAGCGTCCTTTGTTGATACCTAGTGTACACCGCCACCTACTGAAATGGATTAATAAACATTGCTTTCTATTGCTTGTAGCGGCGTTGCTTCCTTTTGTTCACCGCGAAAAATGAAATCTTGAGAAAGAAGGCCTTGTGGGGCATCTCCAACAGCGCCCAAGAAGGAAGATGGAAAGTCTTCTTTGTAGACTCGCACCGCTTACTTACGGTTTTATACAGAGGGGGGTTGTATTGAAGGGACATAAGCTTTGAATATGCGTTGGTTCCAATCCGGATCTCGTTGTTTGGGTCTCGAGATGATATTCAGGAGACAAAAGAGCAGAGCTGATAGAAATGCTAATTATAATGGAGATACTCATTCTTTAATAAAGACTTGTGCCCATTGTCCAAGATTCCTTTGTGGGACTTTCTTTTGATTCTTCTTGACTTGACTCAACAACCCTCCAATTCAGGACAGAACTCTAAGGGTATCTCTGAAGATTCAAAATACAAAAGAGCGACTGCCAATCAAGACAATATTGAAGCACGCGCCTTAGGACCGATCCCAGTGAAATAGGAAAACGAATCCGCGCGCTACCGAGTTTCCTTCATCGATCGGAACAAAACTAGCAAAAGAAAGAGGGAGCTGCGCTATACATAATACAAAGGGACCCAGGCTCTGCCCGAATGATACGATCAGCAACTTCTAGTACCCAAGCTATGTGATCAATAACTATTCTCCTAGAGGCGAATCCCTTCCCTCAGGGCGCCCTAAGCAACCGAAGGGTAGAGAAGATGAAGAATAAGGGTAATCTAAGCATGCGCCACCAAAAGGAAAGAGAGGACCGATTGATACCAATAGCAAGATACACATCTTTTTTTTTTAGACTCCGAGGGTTGAGAATAGTTGAAGATCAGAAGATTGGCCTTAACTTAATAGATTACCACTAAGCGCTTCGCTCCTTTAATTAAGAATCGAAAATCTCGCCTTTTTGGCATGAACATATAGCATGTGTGCCGTGAGGTCAATCACTGTCAGTTCTTCTTTCGAAATTGTCGAACATGATGAAGAGCTCTTATCGGCTGAGGAAATAGGTAGCCGCCCACCCATTCTTCCTTTCCGACCTTAGCTTAGCTGCTCACGCCAATGCTCATGGGTATGGGACCATAACTGCTGCTACTGTTATACTCCCACACTCTAAGAGAGTCCTACCGTCGGCTCATCTTCTATCTAAGACCTCCTCAATGAGAGGATGCCTTAAAGTCTTTTCTCAGGTCTAGTTGCGGTCCGCTCTTTTCTTTCACTTATTGGTACAGCAGCTTCACTCCTCTCCCAGCAAGAGGATGCGCGAACCATTGTTCCAAAGATCGGAGAATCTAGGGAACCGGAAAAGCGAAACCTTGTCAGGAAGAAAGTGAAGCAGGTTTCTTTGGTGGGCCAACAAGGCAAGGCCCTGAAAAGCAAAGATTTTAGATGATAAGGCAGAGGCAAAGCAGGCACATCAAAAAATTCGGTTAGTTAAAAGTCTGAAAATGACCTGTTGACTATCTTGTTAGTCTTCCGGTAGGAATACCTAAAATCTTTCATGATGAGCGCCAAAGACTCAAAAGCTCACGCGCGATCTACTGATCAAATAGAGCATCATCACGTTCGGAGACAGGCTTTCTCCCCAAAGCATATTATTGCTTGTTCGCCATAGCTGATCACACTGTGACGCTGAGCACTTCGGATAAAGCAAGATTCGAAACTTTAGTTAGGGTCATCGTTTCATCCGCCCTTCCACTTTAACTTCCACTTCTTGAGCTGACCCAGCCTGAGTAAAGGCCATTAAGGACCTCGAGCCGACTCTCGTCTGCGAGGTTCGTGTGTCAAGCAAGTTTTTAAAGAGGGTTCCTAATTGTCTTAGTTTGAAGTGAGAGCCCGAATATACTCTTTTCGCTCACCAACTAAAGGATTAACCTCTTTTTTGTTTAGCTTCAGGGGGGAAGACTTTCTCTCCTTTATCGATGCTCTTTTTGTCACGTGGGCGCACTGATTAAATGAGACCACCAAGGCCCCTAGGTAAGACGACATACATAAAGTAGAACGAGATGATCTCGAAGTTCTAAATCCATAATAAAAGGAGAATCTTCTTATCCAGATAAGTACGTAGAGTGAAAAAGGAAAAAGCTCTACGTGCTTTGCTTAGAAGGTTGTTCAATTACATGGCTGCCTTTTGGGAGATAGACTTGCACAGAAAGCTATCCGTTCCAGGAGAAAAAGTAGCTCGAGCAGGAGTTTATTAACAGCTGAAAAACGGAAGACTGGGGCCCTTTACAAAAAGTCTGGGGCAACCCTCGGGTGAGAAGTGAGAGCTGCTTGAAGTCACTAGTCTTACTAAAAAGAAGGAACTCCGAGTGAAGAAGAAGCTGTTACAGAAGCCACAGCTAGTTTTCTTTAAGCAGAAAAAGGCCAGCCAGTTTTTGCTGTTGTCAGGTTTGAAAGAACCGCAGCGATTGGCGACGAAAAGGCGAAACTCCCAGCTCTCCGTAAACAGCCCTTATACCCGCCCTAAACTCAATATCAACAAAAGAAGAATAAAATGACACTAGCTAAGCGGGAAGAGCTAGCCTTAAGCCTTAGTGAAAGGGGTTAACTAAGATCTCTTCCTTCTTCCCACGGACTGACTAAAGCACAAAGACCTACAGCTCTTCCGGCAACCGATGAAATGGCAGCTAGTTCCAGGGAAGTCAATAGAAGTTGGATTGCCTAGTTTTGAGTTCTATTTGAACTAGTTTCCAAGGCTTGATTGCTTCTGGGCTTGGGCTAACTTTAATCTTTCTATTTAGCCCGGTTCTTATATAAATATAAATAAGGTTCCTAACCAGACCCCGTGTACGGATAGAGAAGGAAAGTCTATTTTTCCAAGAGTCTAGCTAACTCTAACCCGGGATCAATCGTGAAGAGGTTTTTCTTTCTTCTTATCTTATCTTAAGTAGAAGATTCGGATAGTGATAAGTACCCCTCTCGCCACTATTTCGATATAGATCCAATTTAATGGAAGGAAAGGCACGAAACAGCTTAACTTGCTTGCAGGCAAGAATAAAGAGCTGGTGGAAGGTGCAGATGAAGAAGCTGCTAGTCTTTTTAACCACAGACGCTCTTGAGTCAATATCAGCTGTGGTCCTATCAGCTCAACCAGTTGCCGGTCTTGTTTGCGTAGTAAATGGTTTTGGCGGAAGAAGGTCTTTGAGAAGGAGCTACATGTGTTCTTGTTCGAGAATCCGCATCCCGTCGAATCAGCTGTGAGGGTGAAAAGGGCTTACGACGAATAGGCTCTTTGATGGGGCATTACTGGGTCACTATAAATATCATACATAAGAGAAGAAAAAGGGTAAGTAAAAGAAAGGCATTGCGTCCTCATCTCATTCTTCTATTACCGGTGGTGAGAGTTACTTCCTTCTAGAACTGGCTGATGAACGAGTTGCATTACCAATTTACTTCTATAGAAAGCAAAGCAATGTAACCTAATTTATATTTTCAGGTTTATCTTTACTTCACACACTTACTTTGATGGAATTGGTTGTTGGATTTCTTTCTTTTAGAAGTACAACTCGATCAAGTAGGAACGGAAGGAATTAGGCTGGGGATACCCCAAAAGAAAGCAGGTAAAGGTACGGTTACCCCATCAGATCAGTACCAGTGACACAAAGCTTACTTCTTATTATTTTATTAATATTAACTTGCTTCTACTTCTGGGACAGGCTGCTAAGCCAGTTAGCTATTCATTTCGGTGTCAAACAAAAGAAATAGGCATGGCATCCTCTAGCTCAGCCAGTAAAGGAAGCAATTCAGTGGAAGAAAGGAACTACCCCACCATATGGTATGGTAAATAAGGATTTAGCTGCTTTGCCGACCCGCTATTCCTTCTTTTCTTTTAGGTTGCAGCGAATTTTTTAATGAACTTGTAGATGTAGAAGGTGGTTACTCATTCTTTTCCTATAATTGTCTTGTCACTCTCTATTTCCTTTTTATCCACCCTTGCCAATCCGGGTATTCCTACTGATCTACTTCTTTCCGTCCCTTGCTGCAGAAAATATACATGATCAGTAAAGAACTAGAGATGGTACCACTACTACTGACTTTCTTACTGTTGATGCCCCATTCAAAAGAAAGGGGTGAAGCTACGGATGCCATTGTTTCCACTATAGCGGATGTAGTTTGTGTACCTGTACTTATACAATAGCTCATGTAGCGAGGGAAGTTCCAGTAGCTGGAGAGGAACTCCCCGATATCCCAGTAGTTAACGCTTCTCCGCTCGGCAATCCGTTAAATGATAAATAGACTAGACTCTTGAAGCAGAGCACCCACAAGCTTTGAAAAGAGAGGAAGCAATGAGTTACGGAGTCACCATAAGGGTAATTAGGATCTGCTGCTGAACCAGATATCCCGCCCCTTACGACCAGTAATCGATATCCCTCACTGCGAGCCAACAAAGAATGAAAGAAGGAAAGGAGGACGCGAGGAAAAGAAGCGGGAAATTGCGTAGATACAGACGAAGAGGAAAGCAATCCCTCTTATCACGCTCATGCCCCCTTAGCTTCTTAGTCAAGGTCACTTCGCTCCCTCTTTTAATTTAAGACAGCACTGCGCTTTTAGCTTTAGCTTTTTGGGAATTACCCCACGGGGTTAAAAGGTTATTAAAAGCCCGAGTAGTTGATCCAAGGGGTTTGAGTTGAAGACTCGGCCAATACATCAGCTTAGTTAGGAGAGAATCCTAGTGCCCTTTTCAAAGGAAAGACTCTTTTCTAGGCTAGAGGCCTGGAGGATCACCCGCGTTGAGATGAGACCGGCTAGAAGCTAAAGACGCCACAAGGAGGAGGTTGGCCTTTGCGCCAGGGACCAAAAACTTTCTATCAACAAAGGGAAGTCCTTGTTAAAGAACATACACGTCGTTCTAGATCAGTGTCAATTCCCTCGGAGGAAAGATCCATGGCCTTTTTTTTAAGCGCCGGTACATTGGCTCCAATCAAGACTAGTCGTCAATCCGAAGTTCGTAGGGCGTTCTGACGCTTTGAAGGAGAAGGCAAGCAACTGACATAGTGTTTGGACGAGGAAGGGGAGGGTAAAGTCATTCTTATTATCTTAGAGTTCAAACTGCCCTAGACAGATCATTGCTAAGAGAGATTGATCTGTATCTGAAAGGCATGTTCCTTATTAGAATTCTCATAGAAGAGTGGAGAGATTTATTCCATACCATATAGAACCGCGCGAACACACAAGCTTTACAGAGAGATCGCGTACTCTGTTGTCAAAGCAAAGCCAAATCCAATCAAATTTTCTGAGTTACCCGCCCCCTATTCTATTCTTCCTTATTTTAGTTAGACAGGAAAAGAGTAGGCCCTTCTAGAGCATTAGGATGTGGATTACAATTCTAATGTAGGGGGTGAGTCCATGAGCATGCCAATCTTTACGCTAGAAAGAAGGGTTTACAAGGTAGTTGACTTACTTACTTGTTAGAGTCAGGCCTTTCAAAAATCCTGTAATTGCATTAATAGGTATCTCAACCGTGCAGTTGCTATCAACTAATCCCTTTGCCGGAATGTGTACTTGGATTACTGCCTGGGATGGAATCGCTGTGAGGGCAGGAACGAAAAAGCCCACATGAAATCAATTCTTGAAGCAAGCTTCCCTCCCGTTCCCAGTTGGTTCTACAATATATATATCTATTTTAAATCTAAGAATGTCGTAAATAATAGAATATGGAAATGATACCGTAGAAAGTAAAGTAAAAAAGAACTAACATAAGTTAGCATGTTTTGCATTTCGACTCGTACGAGAAAAGAGGGAAAGTGCTAAGACCGCGAATGTCGCATCCACGGGATAAGCATTCATTTACCTTTCAAAGATCGTTTATCCCGCAGCATCTTCAGTATGCTACAAAGAAGCATGAAAGGGCTATGCGAAATAGACAAAATCGGCTTCATCTAATGCTTGCTGGCTAGCGCTATAGGGCTTTGAACCATAGGCCTTTCTTCTTTTGTTTTGAGAAGAGCTTGCGCACTAGCATTCCTTCACCCGATCGGAGACTACCCGGCTACGTCTTAATCGGAGAATTCCATATGTCTTGGAATAGATTGATATAGGCATTTTTATGTATGCGGAGGCTTAGTCAAAAGACAGCTTTCAAAGACTACTTTCACTCGCTTAAAAGCGCCTCACTGTGCGAAGAATAGCCCATCAAGCTAGATGAAAGATCTGCCAGAGTCTTGATGTTAAACAAACCCCTCCCCCGGAAGACGAGCGCGTTTGCACAAAAGCTCGTTCTTTGTTTTCTAATTTAAAGAGGAAGCTTTTTTATTATATTAGATTCTAATAGGGATCTATCGTTTGCTCCAATGATGGCCTTTTTGATCTCATATTGAAATATGCAAATCCAAGAAAGAGGCTAGTCCCCGAAAATGCCTATGGAAGGTGGGGTTAAGTAATAAGCTGAAACCTGCGATGCGAACTACCTTCTTGCTTGAGTTCGTGGAGTACACAACCTTAAGGTCGTGGGTTAAGCTAAGCAATGGCTTAACTATGTGAAAAGGTACTACACAGTAGCAGTATCTCCTGGTGTAACCATCCAGGATCTCTTAGACGCACTATTCGTGAACCGGAAATGGCAGATGGAGTCGACCGACCACAAGTTGGTCCGATTCGGTCTCGTCTGGAAGGTTTTCGATATGGTAGCTCTGAGGGGTTTGGACCCTAGAGTTCCCATTCTAGGTCCTTCAGCCGGCTATCCAGTTGCGCTGTATGGAGGTGTATCCGGACAGTCTTTTATGTTTATTGCTACTTAGGTTATCCAGCCTCGAGCAAGAAAGGGGTGTGGTAATCTATTTATCTACCGCCCCTTGGTCCGTCGGGTGTAAGAAAAAAGGCGTTCCTAGTCGCCAATGCAACGCTGGCTTTGAGCTCTTCCCCCGATGCCTGAATGCTCCTTTACCGAGCAGAGGACTAGGTAGACTGATCGCTAATCACTAAAAAAGAAATTGCGTTTGTAAGATCAAGCTCAGCTCGTGGATCTTTGATTCTTTTAGACAAGTCGTTGGTCTTTTCGATTTTCCTTTTTTGACCTGGTATGAATAGTCAATGGATATAGTCCCGGTTGATGCTGCTGACATAGATGTAGATGGGGCGCTTTCAAAACCCCTTGATTAAGAAGTTGAGGGAGCCTCCGATCCTCTTTCGTGTGCAACGGTTAAGAGTGGAAAACCGCTCCTCTAACTTGAGTTGCTTTTAGCTCCTATGACAGTCCTTGTTAGAACTAGGACCTCCCCCTCGCTATCTATCGTCAGTTATTGTCCCAGGCGAGGAACTGCTTGTATCAGACCTGATTCTCGCGCAGCAAGATCTTTTGTGAGTGCCCTTCCTTTGGGGCTTTAGGCTCATCTCACGATGTTCGTCTTGTCTGATTGTTTTTGTCTGGGTTGGGAAGCTCCCCCTTGTTAAAATAAAAAAGTCCTCTATCTGCATACTAACCTGGGAGACTTTCACCCTGTTTTTCTGCTTCTAAGCCGCTTTGAATTGGCCTGTGCCCGTTGATGAATCATCAATCCATTCAGCCGTCACGTCAGCCGAGAAGACGGACTTGCTGGTATCGTCAAATAGAGTATAGAAGGCTTCTTCCGCTCTAGTGGCGGGTTTATCTTTTCATTAAGTAGCCCCTCATTCACCTCGTACACTGAGTCAAGCGACTTCTCCTTTTCTGTCATGAAGAGGAAGTGAGATGATGACAATGCGGCTGGGAAAAATCCATATCAATCAATCCATTTCTTATATATAAGAGAATTGGATCCCGACCCAGACCTAAGAAATGAAATTATATGCCGATTTCATTCCACTAGTACCCGTTCTTTTGTTGGGTTGGTTGGAGTGCTTTAATCAAACTTGACCGAGTAGATCATGTTGGGATCTTCACCATGAATGATCCTCCGGGCGAAGCATCTCATGGCACACCATTGATCCATAAGACAGGAGATATATAATATAAGGGGATAACCCCCATTCCTATCAGCGTGAAATGACATTCATTCAATCAGTCTTCTCCTCCGCTCTCTCTGTCCCTGGCTTCTACCCTTCTGGCCTCAGTCGTTGACTTTGCCCCTTCCGCTCCTCCATTTAACAAGCAATTTCATTTAGTGGTTGTTCGCTCCTGAACGAAGCTATTGGGACAGCGGCTTTGATAGCGCTTTCTCAATGAGAGAAAGAAGATCGTGGTAGAGCTCCTATCTGTGCTTTGACAAATCCCTCTCTGGCGTCATCTACTGGCTGACTGCACACTGCCTTCTGCCTGACTATGGCTTTTAAAAGCAAGATCCCTCCGTTTATCACTCTATAGAAAGAACATCCCATACAGAGTCTTTCAACTAAGCTATTCGAGCCTTCACCTAAGCTCTCATCGATAGACCCCCTTTCTCCTTACCTTACTAAACTAATGTGAAATCATTCCGCGAAAAGGCGCGCAAACAGTTAGTTTATTCGAAAACATCTGTGCCCGCAGAAGCAAAGGCGAAAAGACTAGCGTCATCTTTGTCTACTTCTCTTCCTCAACCTACAGGTAATACCTCACAGCTCCTTCCCTGCTCTGCTCTTGCTGTCGTGTCGATAAAAGAAGATCCCATGCATCTATAAAATATCCGTTTCCAGATGATTGATTCTTTCGGATTCCTCCTTGATAGTAAGGCATTAAGCCTATTTGACGGAGTGGCGGGGAAAGTCAATCAATCCTTACCTTACTGTTGCTAGTCTTTTCGTGTGCATGTATTTCAGCCTTGATGCTGGATATCTTACACGCAGACTTGTTGAAGTAGTTCAACACATTGTTGTACGCAGAACAGATTGTGGCACTACCCGAGGGATTTCTGTGAGTCCTCCAAATAAATAGGACGCTGCCGGAAAGAGTTCGCTTAAGACTGATATATGGGGATGCCCGTCTTGAACTTCTAATTTATGTATGATAGAGCCTCCAGCATATAGGCCTATCTCACTTGGATTCTTCTCACGAATTGGATTTGAACCAATATCTCCGGGCGACTTTCCTTTTAGTCGATCGTGAGTGGGTCTGTCGTCCTCCTCATTTTGGTAAATCTTTCTCTATATTATGGTACCCGACCATTCTTTTCTTTCTTTTTTGATCATTTTAGCATTCTATCCATCACGGTCAAGCTCCCGTATCAGGGCTTTGGATTCGTTGTAATACTGACTATCTAATTGATGCGTTTTCATATCATTTAGAATTTAGGGGAGTTTGTCCAGTCCATATTTTTCCCCGAAATCTTCAATAATATGGGCCGTACGCTCAGGCGCAAGGGCCCGCATGTTTTCTCTTGATCGTAAAAGGGAGATTTCATCTTGTAGTTCATTCTCAATATGGTACAGGTTTAGTAGTAGCCAGTCATCCGCTTTTTCCCTAAGCTCTTCTTCATCAGCCTGTGATAAAACCTCGTTTTGAGGTTGTGATGTGCCACACATATCCTCAGCGCCGGGAGTGCTCAGCGAATCTACCCCCCCTTGCCTTACCGAGGAGGGGCCTGCCTCATTCCTGTAGGGAACTTGGCCTACGTTCGGAGCTTCCGCTTGAAGATTTTCGGAATGGGGATTCACTTCACCACCCGACCCCGAAACCGCACAAGTGCCAATAAATACTGTAGAGAAAAAGATATACATATTCGAAATTAGATAGAGACGAATACAATTGCAAAATAGGGCGGTGAAACACAGTAGGGATAGATAGATAACATAGACAACGCGAGAGCCATACTTTCTATTTAAATGAAAATAAGATTTACGAAACAGAAGTATAAGGCTAAAAATTATAAAAGAAAGAAGTACGAGATTTCTACCAGTGGTCATTATAGCTTCTCCTTGTTACTGTTCCTAACTCTTCCCCTTCCGCGAAGACAACCTCTGCCACCTAGTCTGCTTGCCTTTGCTTCCTAAAGTGAGATGTCCAAGAGAAAAGGAACGAGGGGAAGAAGCGACGAGAACATAAAATCGTGAATGAAAGAGCGTGACGAGACTTTCTCAATTCGAGATGTTAGAAGGTGCAAAATCAATGGGTGCCGGAGCTGCTACAATTGCTTCAGCGGGAGCTGCTGTAGGTATTGGAAACGTATTCAGTTCATTAATTCATTCCGTGGCAAGAAATCCATCATTGGCAAAACAGTTATTCGGATATGCAATCCTGGGCTTTGCTCTAACCGAGGCTATTGCCTTGTTCGCATTAATGATGGCCTTTTTGATTCTCTTTGTTTTCTAAGTTTCTCCTTTTTTTTATTTGATTTGATTTGATTTGAAAGGTGTAGTCTCTCCTACCTGAGGAAGAGGACGAGGCCCCCGTCAATGGGGGAAGGGGAGTGGGCAAGGGGCCCCTTCACGGCTAATCGATCTCTCTCCCTCTAGTATATATAGTAATAGTAAGCTCATCGAAAGACCTGGTGCCCAAGACTCCAACTTGGGGAAGGTGGGATGCTAGGTGGACAGGATTGGACGTTAACCTAGAGAGCTAAGTGTAGTGCACTTCGTTCTCTTTGATTGGCACATGGAAGATCCACTTAAAGCATAAAGAAGATCTGCACCGCTAAGACAAGGAAGGTAAGATATTCAGAAAGAAGATAAGACAAAAAAGTCAATATTGCAACTGACAGCTAATAGGAGAGAGAATACAACTGTCAGCAAATAAAATAGATAAGACAGTCCTGTCTTGATAGTTTACTTCAGATTTCAATGTCCGATCTGACTGTGAGAATAGCGAAGTCCGGAATGACATGCTCAATGCCAGTCCATCCAGAAATGCCAGATGAATCCCGTGAGAGATCTAATCTAGGCAGAAGATCCCATCCCTAAAAAAAAAGTGTAATCAGAGGGTGAAACCTTGCTTTGCAAAAGGGGAGTTCTTTCCCGCATCCATCCCATAAACCCCTGTCAAAGGCGCTTCTACTCATTCTCAATTCAGGAAAAGGTTTCCGGTTGCCATAAAGAAAACCACAATCACACAGTCAACTCGAACAAAGAGCTTCTCGCCTACAAATTAAGGAGCTGGTCCAAGCCTTCCTCTTTACTGTTTAGGAGTAGCATTGAAGATTCGAAACCTTTCGTGTCGTCAGGTTGCTACACCTAACCTAGCCTAGCGGGAGCTCACTTAAGGCTCCGAGTATCATGATCGTAAGACGACATTTGCTAGCCTCACACTACCCTTTTTGGAACCCTCGAGTAGTCATGTGGAAGAAACAAACGAAAAGAAAGGAGAAAGGCTTGCTGTTGCCAAGGCCTATTCCTCGACCATTTTTGATCGGAAGTCACCTATTCAATAAGTTGGGAGTCCCCGCCATGTAAACCCATATCCCATGGAAGAATCGAATCAATACCGACTATTTATTTAGCATCCCGAAAAGTGACGAGAAGACCACACTTTACATCTTTCTTTCAAAAGAGGAGAACGCGCTCATATAATATTAACAAAAATTAAAGAAATCCTCGTCCAGTGGCACGTCCTTTAGCTGCTGCGGTCCGGTACGGGGAAAGAAGTTCGGACATATTCTATTCTATTCTATATAGGAAGCGCTCCTTGCCTGAAGAATAGGCGTCTTTCATACCTTTCCTGGGAACGGGCAAGAAAACAGATTGGCCTATGAATGTGCACCCTCTTTCCTGATACTAGGGACATTTGATTTGAAGATCTAGGCCCCTCCAATAGCATAAAAAAGGTAAGCCTTTGGAGTGTAAGTGTCAATTCCCAACCATCTAGTTCTAATGGAAGTTGTAGTTGCAAAGCCAGTTTAAGAAAGTTCATTTTCAAGCTGGTAAGGGCCTGGTACGTGTGACTGCAAGAAAATGTTTCCCTACAGTTGCATTGACCCTTACCTTTTTCGGGCTTCCATGTGAGCCAGTTTTCAAGACTTTATACAGCAGTGGTAAGGTACACCTATGTCATTTCCTTTTTTTAAGGGGATCTACGACTTAATATAAAGATAGGACCAAAGTCAAGTGATTCAACTCAAGCACGAACCGCTACCTCCTCTTCTCCGACTTCAGCAGAAAAAAGTCAAACAACTCATTATCTCATGTCAACAGCGCATTCGTTCACTCAAACAGCGCATTTGTGAGCTCCAAGTCCAAGAGCCTATCCGGTACGAGAAGTGAAGGGTGAATGTGAAATTCTCTTATTTAGTTTAGCGAGAGTCGAAAGGTCGTAAGCAAGTGGCTATGGGGAAGTCAGGGTATAAGAATCACTGATTGGAATGGTATCGAAGGCGACCATGGGGAGCTTTGTAAAGCCGAGTAAGTGATCCGAAGGAGAAGCTGTGACGGCTCCTCTTTCATCAGTTTCATTTGGGAAGGTGAGGGAATTAAGAGAGTCATATTCCAAAAAAATTGCTATTCTTTTTTTTTTTTATAAGTATTTCGGGAAGAGCTTCAAGGAGAAAGGCGGAAGACTTTTTATTTATATATGGAAAGTAGGTCCGGTCCGTGCGACTCTTGGGGAGTCTATCATCATAGCTGGACCTAGATGAAGCCATGTCCTTATTCGCGAACTACAGCAAACCTGTCTTAAGCATAGTGCCAGTAGGAAAGTCTTTCTTTGAGAGAGTTCGGTAAGGCTAACGGTAGCAAGCATTCCTTCGAAGCAAAGGAGGCCAGTAGGACGCTTGATAGCCAGTCTGTTTAATAATTAAATTTAAATATAGTAGAAAGCTGGTCAAACTCTTGAAAGCAAGGAGCAATCCAATCAGTGCGAGCGGGAAGTCCATTCAGTCCAGTGAGTGGGAGGTCGTCGTGAATGAATGGGTATTTTAGAGGGTTCAGTTCCCACGGGTAAGATGCTTATGAGTAGGTGCGGGTTAGTAGCAAGAAGGCTTTATTACTTAATTAAATTAAATGAAAAAAAAACATAAATAAGTTAAGATTTGGTTGATTCCATTCTAGAGTCACTAAGGGAAATGACTCTCGATTGAGATCATGCCACCTTTTTTCTATCCATCTTAGTCTGATAGCTTAGGTCTTTTTCCCATGTCTTTCTTTCTTGGTTGGTAAACCCAACCAGAGATTTACAACAAACAAGTCTTTCTTCCTTTTTTTTAGAGTAAGAAAAGAAGCGGAACTACAAGAAAGCTTTCTTTATATGGATAACCAATCCATTTTCAAATATAGTTGGGAGACTTTACCCAAGAAATGGGTAAAAAAAATGGAAAGATCGGAACATGGAAATAGATCTGATACCAAAACGGACTACCTATTTCAATTGTTGTGCTTTCTTAAATTGCATACCTATACAAGGGTTCAAGTTTCGATCGATATTTGCGGAGTTGATTATCCCTCTCGAAAACGAAGATTTGAAGTGGTCTATAATTTACTGAGTACTCGGTATAACTCACGCATTCGTGTACAAACCAGTGCAGACGAAGTAACACGAATATCTCCGGTAGTCAGTCTATTTCCATCAGCCGGCCGGTGGGAGCGAGAAGTTTGGGATATGTTTGGTGTTTCTTCCATCAATCATCCGGATCTACGCCGTATATCAACAGATTATGGTTTCGAGGGTCATCCATTACGAAAAGACCTTCCTCTGAGTGGATATGTAGAAGTACGCTATGATGATCCAGAGAAACGTGTGGTTTCTGAACCCATTGAGATGACCCAAGAATTTCGCTATTTCGATTTTGCTAGTCCTTGGGAACAGCGTAGCGACGGATAATTCAGAATCAGAATAGGTCCAGCTCTATAGGATAGGGGACAAATCAATAGGAAATGCTATTTGCTTTGTTTGTAAGAATAAGAATCAACTTCTATGATATGAAATGAAAGAGTTCGCGGGAATTGTCTTGATCGTCGGATATCATTTTAATTAAATAGTCAGAAGTGTTATCGAACGATTGATTTCCTGCAATTCTTCCCAGTATGTCATGAGTAAAGAATCCAGCTACAAGTCTCGATCTATACAAAACGCACTGGGTTTTTGTGTTTCTTTCGGTTTCATTGATAGCAGAAGAGCCTTACTCTCTCTATAGGATAGGGGCACTAGCGCTTTATTTAAAAAAAAAGTCAAGGGGCCTGAAAACGTAACGTAATAGGCTGCTATTCTAGGCTCGCTTCGCTTCTTCAAGCTCCGCCCCTTATTGGAAAACGAAAGCGCTAACGCGCCTTATATTTTATTTGATTTCTTATTTCTTTTTTTTAGTAAAGCAAAGCAACCTTTCGCGCCAGGCGCTCACGTTGTCGTCTGGGTGGAAGCTGGCGGCAGGGCTTGCTTAACCGTATATATGGAATCGGGACTCGCCCTGGATCTCCGAATAGCCTCTCACCTTAAACTGGTAGACACACTGAGCCACCACGTACCCCTCTCGCCCGTCGTATGCTATGGATGGTCACACTAGCCCCTCGATGGCATGGCGTTCCCATTGACTGTTCCTGAGGTCATTCTTAAGGGAGATCCTTAATCCTGGAAAGAAGGAAAGGCATCAATCCAGACCGGCAGCACCCGAAAAAAAGGAGTCTTAGCTTTAGATAGTCTTTCCACGCTTGGCTTTGCTAGGCAGGCTTCCCCGGTCGTACCGTTCGTAAATTCCTTCCGTTCTCCGCCAATTCTTATCTTTTTTTTTATTTTGCTTCCATTGTCTTGCTGAACTGCTTTTCCTGTTGAAGCTTTTACGGGGGCTTTTGCTCATGCCGATTCTGAATGCTTTCTCATGATAATATGAAATATCTCTTTTGTGTCCATTCACCGAGACGAGCACAAGAAAGACAGTGGAGATTCGATCTTGTCTTCTTTCGCTTGGTTTCCCCAGGTGGTGCGGTTGGGGAGTAGAGAAGGCTCGTCGAGACCTCGATGCCGGGTCGTTCCAAAGTGACTTGCTATTGCTGCTGCAGTGCATCTTGTTCATCATCCAGGAATTTCTTTATAATCTTTGCCTTCCTCACCAGGAATTGGATTCGAACCAAGTATAAGATATTATAAATGTCGGAGAATACCGGGTATTAGAGTTTTTAGCATTAACACGATTAAATCTTCTTTTTTCCTAGCCGATTCTTCCCTTCCTTCTCTTCTCACTCCCCGGGTTTAGCTCCCGACTGGAGGGAGAGGGGCAAGGCATTAGGGATAGCTGCTTTCGTCTCCAGTAATGGATGGATAAGGTGGTAGTGCAAAATGAAATAGTAGCCGTAATGGAAGAACTTTTTGCTTGGTTGTCCGGCCCTCTTCACCGATCTCCTAGCCCTACGAATCAAACATCTCCAGGCATCTGGTTTCAAAGATAGATTGGTTAGTCGCCTTCTGTTCATTCTTACCCCTGACTACCGGACCCCATTGGTTAAGTTGGTTGGGGCAGGAATAGCTATCGGACTACGATCACAGGCCGGGCCGACCCTCCTTTACTCTAGCCCAGTTGGAGAGGGAAAAGTCCCATCCGTTCCAGAAGTCGCAGAGAAATGGAAGGCTTAAATACCAAAAACTACGGAGGCATGATCTAAAAATGGGTAAGCCCGGTGGTTCAAGTTGAGCCTAGCCAACAACCAACATCAGCTTCTAGGGATAGTAGGAGCTCCAGTTGCTCCAACCATTCTAGTGAACCGGTCGAGACCAGCAGCTATGAATACCCTGTGCCGGTTGTGCGAAGGCAGCCTCAATCAAAATCAATAAAAACGTCCTCCTAAGCTAAGGAAAGAAAGCTGATTCACCTCTACCCAGTTAATCCCGAAGGAAGCTTCCCTGAGAGAGCTGCTATAAGATAAGCTCTTTTTCCATTTAGTTTAGAGAGAGTAGCTTGCTTTCCACGGTCTGCTATTCCTTTCCTCTAATGACTCAATTTAAAACCTACCGAAATGGCTCTTTAAAGAAGGGCTTTATTCACAGGAAAATTTGGATTGGAGAGGGTCGACCAGTCCATTTATCATCCCACCACTCACCCAAGCAAGCTCAGGAGTTCAGGTGCTTTAGCTGCTTGAAGCCCGATCGTCAGTAACTTCCACCTAAGAGATCTTGTTTTTGTCCTTCTCGGGTTCCAGTCCAATCTTCTGCTGCAACCTTTGCCTCTATCTCTACTTCTGGGTCTCGATCTCGAACTCAAACTGATGCCCAGCTATTCTTCTAGATGCTGAGACGCGGGGACATGATACTGACGGCCGGGGACCGCTGAAAGATCAGATGATCTATCTTCCTTTGACTTCCCCCCTTAATTAATTAATTAATTAATTAATTAATTAAGATTAAGTAAGTAATTAAGGAGTATAGTAAGGCCCCCAACAGGGTCAATGCCATGCAGCCGAGCAGGCACCGGTCAGAACTCAGCACCAAGCCGAGCACTCAACAGATCTGGGCTGCTAGTAAGGAGGGCAGTGAAGCCTTCTAGCATAAGTGATGCCTTCCCAAGGCAAGGTCTGGTCTCTTCGGGACCCTTAAACTCGAGGGTTGGATAAGCAAACCTGGCCAAAGAATCACTATTTCGATTGAAGCTCTGCCGCGGTGACCCAATTCTCATATACAGATAAGCGATAATGCCCTTTCTGACACGGCTGCGTCCTCACGAATGCCAAACTTCGTAGCTCAGCTCATCTGGAATGACCAAGCTCCAGGGAGGTTTTATTGATGACATGGCGGGCTCCAAGCTACACCCTTCTCTGCTACCAAATCATAGATCTTCCAGAGAAGACAAAAGCGAATAGACCGTTCCCTCCCCTCCCTGGAGCTATAGCTACCCCTAACCCTTAGCCGGCTGTTCGAAAGCCAGACTAACTGCTGGTGATATTCCCTCTATTCTTCGCTGCTTCTTTATCTGGTATTGGGATTGAACTTTAGAAAAACCAGTGCGTGCTACCGAAGCGAAGAACCGAACCCTCAGGCCGGTCCTTCTTTCAGCGGGACGAAAAAGGCTTGAGCTAATATTCTTTGGTGCCTGCCTATTTGATTGAGGCTAAAACAACAGAAAAAGAAAGAGCATTACACTCAGACACACAGGCCCGGACCTATTTACTGACCGACCAGAAAACTCAGTCAATGGATTTGAAAACTTCCGTACCCGGCAAGAAAACTCCAGCAGCTAACGAGCAAGAAAAGGTAAGCCCTTACAGAGAGTGAAGAATCATACATTCAGTTCGAATCAATATACGCAGCAAGAAAACGGTCATCAGTGAGTTCATGGACCGGAGTGGGACTAGAAGAAAGAAAGATAAGAATTTGCTTTCTGAACAAGCGCTGCGACACTTGGGTAAGGGGCGCGAGCGATCCTGTCTGTCTTAAGTTCTGTAGTACTTGATTTCCTCAGTCCCTTCGGTTCGGAATCAGTATTCGAATTTGATCTGTGTCGGTATCTTTCAGTAAAAATAGATTTCTCAGTCTCATCGGTATCAGTTTGATCTGTATTGGTATCTCAAGCAATCAAACTCCACTGCTTTAGCGAATAAAGGTAGCAATCCGTTGCTTGTTTAGTCCGGTGCTTGTTTGCTCTCCTTGCTGCTGTCAATAGGTTCTCTCCAGCTGCCAACCACAAAAAGACCTGATAGACCGGACTGGGACTTGCCCCGGAGGGGAAAAGAAAGAAAATCAAAGATATTACTAGCGATGTGACCCTTGGGTAAGGGTCACAAGCTATTCTCCCTCCTACTTGCACACCGGCTTTCGCTAACGTGCGTTCAGTATCGGTCTTCTTTATTAAGTAACAGACTGACTAGAATGCACTCACGGAACACTTTCTTAATGCTATTTCATGCTTTCGATAGTTACAGTCTCCGTTGCTGGTATTCTATATCTCATATCTCATTCTTAGCATTCTGTAGTAACTATCAGTCTCATCTCACATAGAGAGGAAAAGAGATTCTGATTCTAGTTCTTCCCAAGGGAAATCCAGCCTTTGAAACTAGTTCAAATCGAACTCAATGGTTACACAAAGTGTTCACCAGAAAGCTCTCAAGAGAGAGTCAAGGAAGTTACGGAGGAAGGTTTGTAGCCTTTGGATCCTACTCACATTAGGCCTAGTGCTCAGGTGGTTTGGCCAATAGTGGGTCAAGAAATATGGAATGGGGATGTAGGGGGAGGGTTCCGAGGAATACAAAGAACCTCTGGTTTTTTTCAAATTTGGAGAGCATCTGGAATAACTAATGAATTACAACTCTATTGTACTGCAATTGGTGCATTGGTCTTTGCAGCCTTAATGCTTTTTGCTGGTTGGTTTCATTATCACAAAGCTGCTCCAAAATTGGCTTGGTTCCAAGATGTAGAATCTATGTTGAATCACCATTTGACAGGGCTCCTAGGGTTGGGGTCTCTTTCTTGGGCAGGACATCAAATACATGTATCTTTACCAATTAACCAATTTCTAAATGCTGCAGTAGATCCCAAGGAGATACCACTTCCTCATGAATTTATCCTAAATCGGGATCTTTTGGCTCAACTTTATCCGAGTTTTGCCGCGGGAGCAACCCCATTTTTTACCTTGAATTGGTCAAAATATGGAGAATTTCTAACTTTTCGTGGAGGATTAGATCCGGTAACTGGAGGTCTATGGCTGACCGATATTATACACCATCATTTAGCTATTGCAATTATTTTCTTGATAGCGGGTCACATGTATAGGACCAACTGGGGTATTGGTCACAGTATCAAAGATATTTTAGAGGCACATAAAGGTCCATTTACAGGCCAGGGTCATAAAGGTCTATATGAGATCCTAACAACGTCATGGCATGCTCAATTATCTATTAATCTAGCTATGTTAGGCTCTTTGACCATTGTTGTAGCTCACCATATGTATTCTATGCCTCCTTATCCATACCTAGCTACTGACTATGGTACACAACTGTCATTGTTTACACATCACATGTGGATTGGTGGATTTCTCATAGTCGGTGCTGCTGCACATGCAGCTATTTTTTTTTATGGTAAGAGATTATGATCCGACTATTCGATACAACGATCTATTAGATCGTGTCCTTAGACATCGTGATGCAATCATATCACATCTTAACTGGGTATGTATATTTTTAGGTTTTCACAGTTTTGGTTTGTATATTCATAATGATACCATGAGCGCTTTAGGGCGCCCTCAAGATATGTTTTCAGATACTGCTATACAATTACAGCCGATCTTTGCTCAATGGATACAAAATACCCACGCTTTAGCACCTGGCACAACAGCCCCTGGTGCAGCAACAAGTACCAGTTTGACTTGGGGGGGTGAAAATTTAGTAGCAGTGGGCGGTAAAGTTGCTTTGTTACCTATTCCATTAGGAACTGCGGATTTTTTGGTCCATCATATTCATGCATTTACAATTCATGTAACAGTATTAATACTCTTCTTAAAGGGTGTTCTATTTGCTCGTAGTTCACGATTGATACCGGATAAAGCAAATCTAGGTTTTCGTTTCCCTTGTGATGGACCTGGAAGAGGGGGGACATGCCAAGTATCCGCTTGGGATCATGTCTTCTTAGGACTATTTTGGATGTACAATTCAATTTCAGTAGTAATATTTCATTTCAGTTGGAAAATGCAGTCAGATGTTTGGGGTAGTATAAGTGATCAAGGGATCGTAACTCATATCACAGGAGGAAATTTTGCGCAGAGTTCCATTACCATTAATGGATGGCTCCGTGATTTCTTATGGGCGCAGGCATCCCAGGTAATTCAGTCTTATGGTTCTTCATTATCTGCATATGGTCTTTTTTTCTTGGGTGCACATTTTATATGGGCTTTTAGTTTAATGTTTCTATTCAGCGGGCGTGGTTATTGGCAAGAACTTATTGAATCCATTGTTTGGGCTCATAAGAAATTAAAAGTTGCTCCTGCTACTCAGCCCAGAGCCTTGAGCATTGTACAAGGACGTGTTGTAGGAGTAACACATTACCTTCTAGGTGGAATTGCCACAACATGGGCATTCTTCTTAGCAAGAATTATTGCAGTAGGATAATAGCTAGGAGGATTTGAAAATCATTATGGTTCTTAATTTTATCTCTTCCCTCCTGTGGAGGCCCTATAGACGTAAAGGTTCCGAAGGCTCCAACAGGCTCTAAGTCAGTGAATATCTCCTTCCCGCCCACCTTAAAGTTCAAGAGTCGTAAGTAAAGAGATCTTTCCTAGAGGTAAGTAAAGGATTCCTTCTGGCCTTCTGCTAACCGACGTTGAAAGTTACGACTTTCAACGTCGCCTGATACAACGTAACCGACGTTGAAAGCTTTATTTGTAGTAGTGTTTGCTCAATTGAGAATTTGTTCGCTTAAGCGATTGAATTCCCGAGAGTTTTAACGTATTTTCGCTCAAACGAGCGTCCGTCTCGCTGGAGCGAATGACTTCCAAAGAGGTTTAACGTATTTTCACTCAAGCAAGCATCTACCTCGCTCAAGTGAATATTAGGTTGAAAATCTTATTCTCTTTTTCCAATTTTTCTTCAATTAACTTGAGAATTATGATCCTTGCTCTTGTACCCATGTATTCTATAAATTCATCCTACATTAGGAGAAGAATAAATTAGAATCAACATAATTTAAGTGATTAAATAACAATTCAAAACATAATTACATCAACTTTTGTCACTTAACAATTCATTATTTACAATTTTGTAAATCCATTCATTTTTTTTTCTTTGTTTCTGACATTTTTAAATAAGGTAATAAATGTTTTATTTAAGTGTTGATAATAAGTCTGAATTTACTTGGTTTTTTTAATATAACATCCTGTATTACTCTTGATTCTTGCAAGAACTGGTTTGACCTTTTTACTCTAGGATTGTTTGAATCTTTTCTTTCATATGGGTTTTGATCTAGCCATTGTCCATGTTTCTTGTACTTGTTTTCTTTATTTTTTATGATACTCTCTCGTGAGCTAACTTGATGATTTTGCTGCCAACCTAATTAGGATGCTTAGGTTAAGAAAAGAAGTTGAGGTTAAGAGGAGAACGAATGGAGCTTTAAAAATTATTGAAAGGCTTTCCTGGTTTAACTGATAATGAAAATCTTTAGCCATTAATTAGTTAAATTATTATATATTAATGACAAGAAGTATAAAGAACAATGACAACAATTTAAGAGAATAAGGGAAAGAAGAAAGATAAAAAATTTATACTAATTAAGTCGATACCAAGAGTTACATTTAATCTTTAGTCACACAAGCCAAGGGTTCCACTAAAACTTCATAGTTTTTATAGTAATAGAAACCCTATCTACTCATGAAGAGTTTCTTGAACCATATAAGAAAAACTCCTTTCAAGATCAATGACACCCCATCACCTAATGCGATCTAGAAACCTATATATAGAAATTACAGTAAAAGTTGTGATTAATGAGATATAAATGACAAGTTATTGAATCAAATTCTTTGTTCACACCACTACAAGAAATATTAAAATTACCGACGGTCAAAATCCGTCGGTAATAACAAAAATCAGTCGGTAAATGAATATTACCGACGGAATTCCGACGGCCAAAAATCCGTCGGTAATAATTTTATTAATTATTAAATATTTTACTTATTATTTATAACATTATTTTTTTTATAGAACCCCTCCCCCTTATATTCTTATTATTTATTATTAATTATTTCAATTATTTCTCCATATTATATTTTTATAACTTTGAATTATTGTCGGATTAAGAGAAATGTCATTGGCAGGATTCGAACCCAGTACCTTAGAGTCGAAGTCGATACTCCAATCACTAAGCTACTAGAATTTCTTGATAACAATTTACAAATAAATTATATTTATATACAAATATACAAATACATTTATATATATTTATATATATTTATATATATTTATATACATTTATATATATTTATATATATTTTTTTATATTTTTTTATATATTTTTATATATTTATATATATTTATATATATTTATATATATTTATATATATTTATATACATTTATATATATATTTATATATATTTATATACATTTATATATATATTTATATATATTTATATATATATTTTTATATATTTTTATATATTTTTATATATTTATATATATTTATATATATTTATATACATTTATATATATATATATATTTATATATATTTATATATATATTTATATATATTTATATACATTTATATATATATTTATATATATTTATATATATATTTTTATATATTTTTATATATTTTTATATATATTTATATATTTATATATATTTATATATATTTATATATATTTTTATATTTATATATATATTTATATATTTATATATTTTTATATTTTATATTTATATATATTTATATATTTATATATTTTATATTTATATATTTTTATATTTTTATATTTATATATATATATATATATATATATATATATATATATAATTAAATATTTATTTTTAAAATTACTTAATTTAATAAATTATTATAAATTAATCTAATTATGATTAAATTAAATTATTAAATAAAAAATATTTTATTTTTTAATTAGTGAATAATTAAATTATATTATATAATTTTACCGACGGATTTATCCGTCGGTAAATAATTTTTAATTTACATATGAATTTACCGACGGATATATCCGTCGATAATTACTTGTTAATTTATCGACCGATTTATCGACGGATATATCCGTCGGTAAATTCATCTATAAATTACCGACGGATTTATCGACGGATATATCCGTCATTAACTAATTATTATTTTACCGACGGATATATCCGTCGGTAAATTCATCTATAAATTACCGACGGATTTATCGACGGATATATCCGTCGGTAATTAATTATTATTTTACCGACGGATATATCCGTCGGTAACATCAAATTTCACAAATATTTTATATCCGTCGGTAATTTCCGTCGGTAATGATTATTTTCCGATGGCTACAATTCCGTCGGTAAATATCCGTCGATAATACGCGATTTTCTTGTAGTGCACGAGTGCTTGATCTCAAAAATCGAAAAAGAAAAACATCCAAGAACATTTCTTAAACTCAAAGTAGTTCTCTCTCAAAGTGGACAAATGATTTGTAAAATATTAATTCAAATCGCATATATATCAAAAGATTAAGAAATAAGAGAGTTATAAATAATTAAATTGTTAGTTTTAAAATGTTAATTCCAATTAAATATGAAAATAATCAATTAGCCCTTATTATAACATATTAAAACATAACAAAAAAATTGTGTGAAACGTGAAAAAAATTTAATAAATTAATTATTTTAATGGATTAAACCAAAGAATTCCAAAACCCTTTCAAAAGCCTAGAAAAGTTTTAACAAATTAAAAAACCATTTAAAAATCACTTTCAAAGTCCAAAACTTTTTACAACTTTAACGTATTAAAACATCAAGGTTCAAGCTTAAAAAATAGTCAAGAATATTTTCATTGATTAAAACTTAATTTTAATATATTAAAATTGATCTTTAATAATGATAATTTTAATTGATTTTAATAGATTATTTCGATATTTTAATTCATTAAAAGTATCTTCAGAACATTTTAACATATTAAACCATTCTTTTAACAAAATAAAACTCTATTTTTCAAATATTATTTCAAAATCAATTTCTAAGAGACTTTTTTGAATAAAGATCAAACATTAGGAAAGAGTTTACTTGGGACAAAAAATAATCCACCTGCAACATTCAAAGTGATCTTATATATTAAATCAACATGAGAGAGGTAGATTCATCAAATCTTCATCAAGTAGTTACATTAAAAACTTTATACAAAATTTCAACAACTTAATCATTAAATTACCTTCCAAAATATTTTTTTCCAAAATAATATAATTTATTTGAAACAAATATAAAAAAATCTAACAATTTTTTAAAATTAAAAATTTTATTAAAAGAATATTTTTACAATATATAACCTAATTGACTCAATCTAATCTAATTGATTAAATTAGATTGAATCTAAAAAACATTGTAGAAACTAATTCAGTAGAACTCTGATTATTTTCTAATTGGGTTAGATGATGGATTTAGACAAACGCCATTTAATATGTGCATACTCTAACCTTAAAAAATATTTAAACAATATTTAGAAGTAATTGAAATATAAAAAAATATGTTAAATTAGAAATATTAATATTATATTAAGGTATCTTTTTTACTATTTTTAATCAATGCAATATATATCCACGACTTCTTATGAATTAATACGATTTGAATTATTACAATTTTTAGGAAAAAATATATATATATATATATATATATATATATATATTAATAGAAATAAATACAATTTTTATTTATCTTCTGTGCTGCTAAAGCCCAACTACTTTTACTACTTGGTCAATAATAAACTATTTCATGTTTCTAATTGAATAATAGTTCTAGATAAAATATAACTTAATTTCTTTCTAACAAAAGGTACAAGTTCTTATTATAGTATTGAAAAAAAAATAACAATATTTATTTTTAAAATATATAGAAAAAAAAGAAAAAATATAAAAGAGAGGATTAAAAATGAAAATATAGTTCCGTTTTAATATCATATTACATTTTTAAGAAAAAAAAAATCATCTTATGGGGCAATTTAACCTAAAATTTATTTCTTTGGAAAGGAATGAATGGAATTATGGAACAAGTTCGAGGGGCCATCGAGACTCTTCAGTCCCCGTTTCTTTGGCTCCAACTTCCCCGCCCATTTGTGCTATCTCTCACCTTATTAAATTTTAATATAAAATATATATTTTTATTTGTATTGAATTTTTAGTACTTAAATCAATTGAGAAACTATGAGTGTGATATTACATGATGAAATATTTCACATTATCTTGACTTATGAAAGGAACGAAATAAAAGTGTCTTAGTTAAATATAAATTTTATTATTTATTATTTTTCATAATGAAGAAGTTATACAAAATATTGAATTTCCTAATTTTTAAGTATTTTTGATAATTTAGATATGGTAAAGTGTATATTTATATTTTTATGCTAATAATATAAACAATTTAACATTGTAATTATTGTTTGCT